GGTATTGTGCGCGTTAGAGTTATCACACACGACAACAAAGACGCGCGCGAGGGAGGAGACGCGCGAGTGGTTTTCTGGCTTGCTTCCAGCGACAAAAATTATATAGTAAAAGAAACCAATGTCAACAACAGTAATGTCAGGACCATTTCTGCTAATGAAAGGGATCCCAGGTGCTGGCGTTCTTTCTAGAGCGCTAGTCGATTCAGATAAATACCCTTGCGCGGGTGTCCCGTGTCTCGCTTTACCGTGCTGCACACACCTCAGTCACGAATTATATGGGTATTACTTACTAGAAATATTTAGTATTCATTGTGCACAAACAACGCAGTTCACTACTTCTGTCAGCCATTCCGTCTTTCGAAGTTAATAACTATTTGGGTTAGTTAATATTGATGGAGGCGTCCACGACAAACAAAAGAAAGTACGTACATATTTACGAAACGCTGAAATTATGGCAGCAAGTAAATAACAATAAAAGCCATGGCTTGTTACATGTTTTAGTAAGTGTACAGCAAAAGTAGTATTGAAAGTTTCATCGATCGAGGAGAATAGAATTAATTGTACAAGTATGGTATTTTGTTACGTTCCAGAAGCTTCTTTGTTTTTTCGCACAAAACAAGTGTTTTGACCAATGCCAGACATGATTTTTAAAAGAAATTTGAGAAGGCTTTTAGGAAATTCTTCCTAATTAGCTTTATGTATACATTTTTAATGCAGTTCTGAATTTTTTTGTTAGTTACTTTTAATTTTTCATTTATGAGCTTCGATGTTATTTTAGCTTTTGTTATTTTATTTTCTATATAGGACCCGCCTGAAAACCACACTTAGTGATAGTGGCCTCCTCTTAAAATATGTGTTTTTTTATTGTCATTATTATTATTATTAATCTATTTTGTTCCTGTATGTGTGTTGCGCAGAAGGACATTTTATCAAAGAAGTTCCCGAGCGTTAAGATGAATGGGCTTATTAAACCTAATTCAATTTTGGAGATTTCATTGAGGGGAGTTTTCGAAATTTACAATTAAATGTATCTTATTTCGAGTGTGTGCATGAGAATTTTCTCTTGCCTCAAGCAAGAGGATGATTTCCTGGTTTCCTGTAAAACATTTCTTCGTCGGTTTTTCAAATGATTATTTCTCTTAATTTTATTAGCCGGGTTCTTTTAAGAATGTCTATGTTCTTTAAGTCTATTTGCGTCCTAGCTTTCAGATTTTCATTATAAATGCTAGCATTTTGAGCATTGAGTATTATTAGCCCGAAAATGCCTGTACTCTTTCGATCAACCTGACGTACCTTTACTACAGTGTTCTTGAGAAGAATTTTTTTTAATACTTCCTCATCGCCGGCATCAGCGTCAACTTTACAAAGTGCGACGTTGGGAGGCAGGAAGCACACTTACTCTTTCGCACGCGCCTTCGACCCTCCTCCGATCCCGCGATCCCGCATCCCTCGTGCGCGCCCCACGTTCCTGGCGTGTCCAAAAACGTCTTACGCAAAACAAGATGATTATCACAAATATCGAAATGAAAAGAAACTACAAAGTTTACCCCTATAGCACTTTTTTAACACTGCAGTACAACCTATAGCTGCCAGGACTCACCATCAACCCATACGATGTTCATAGAAATTCTGTTAACAGTTTTGCGTGCATTTTATGTCTTGGGAGAATTTCGCTTTAAATCAACAGTCTATTCGTATCTTTTCTGGAGATTTAAAGGAGCTATGCCACAAATAGCACAGCTTGAAAGAAAAAAAAATGGCATCGTATTTTCTTGAGTGTGAACCATCCTTGTTCCTTTGGGGCTTATTATTACCGCTGATATTTTCCTNATGTTCTTTAAGTCTATTTGCGTCCTAGCTTTCAGATTTTCATTATAAATGCTAGCATTTTGAGCATTGAGTATTTTTAGCCCGAAAATGCCTGTATTCTTTCGATCAACCTGACGTACCCTTACTACAGTGTTCTTGAGAAGAATTTCTTTAAATACTTTCTCAGCGCCTGTATCAGCGTCAACTTCACCGAGTGAGACGTTGGGAGGCAGGAAGCACACTTACTCTTTCGCAGGTGCCTTCGACCCTCCTCCGATCCCGCGATCCCGCATCCCTCGTGCGGGTCCCACGTTCCTGGCGTGTCCAAAAACGTCTTACGCGAAACAAGATGATTATCACAGCTCGGTTAAAGTATCGAAATGAAAAGAAACTACGAAGTTTGCCCCTAGAGCACTTTTTTAACACTGCAGTACAACCTAAAGCTGCCGGGACTCACCATCAACCCTTACGATTTTCATGGAAATTCTCCTAACAGTTTTGCGGGCATTTTATGTCTTGGGAGAATTTCGCTTTAAATCAACAGTCTATTCG